CCCGCGCGCCCGGGCGGCGTGCGGCCCGAGCCTGGTCTTGGGTCGGGCACGCCCCCCCCCTGCAGGCCGATTTTGGCCGACAGATCAGAGACATCCAAGAAAATGCCCGAGATCGTAGCCAGAGATGGTCGAGGCATCGTCGCCAGACTGTTTTTGTTGTTGACTGCCTCTGAAGGTCGGCGCCCCTGGATACGTGCATTGCTTCCGGTCGGGCGTGCCCCCCTGCAGGCGGATGCTAGGCGAGAGCTCGGACATGGCTCAAACCATCGTCACGGATGCCCAAACATAGTCGAAACATCGACTACTCCAGATTTCGTAATAAAGGGAGGGGGGGGTCTTTTCCAAGCTATCTTGGAGGGCCTGGGGGGGTCTGGGGACGATGTTTTGGAGGGTCCTCCCAGGGGGGGGGTCTAAAACTTCCCGTCTGGGAGGGTTGAGACCCCCTCCCTTCTATTACGAAATCTGGAGTATCTTTGACTATTCCTCCTGCAGCGGGGCACGCCCGACTTGACCCCTGTCGTCGCCGAGCGTCCTGTCCTGCCCCCGGCTGGAGCCCAGCGGGCCCGACCGCGGGCGAACACCCGCGCCTCCGCGCCCGGCCGAAGGCGGGAGCCCCCGCCGGCGCCCGCCGAGGTCTCTGCTGCTGGCGGGCGGAGCGGGGGGGGCAGAGGGGGACGAGGAGGAGGATCGTCAGTGGGAGGAGGAAGAGGGAGAGGACTCCTCTTCCTCTTCCTCTTCCTCTTCCCCCCACTTCGCGCCCGCTTCCCTCTTCAACTCCCCGCTTCCCCCGAGGATCGTCAGCTGGATCGGCTGGACCGCGGGCCCACAGAATCGAAACCAGCGATGAGGACAGAGCGTACGGATGCAATGCCTTCGGAACGCGCCGAAAGGACAAAGACGCTCCGACACGGATGCAGGGTGCCCCAACCAGGCAACAGCCTCGCCTCCGCGCGCACTCGACGCATCGGGAAACCGGAGAAACCGAAAGAGCGCTGAGGATGGCCAGGGACGAAGGACCGAAGGACCCAGGGTGTCCCACACGACAAGGGCTTAGGTCGGGCACGTCCCTTACATGCAGACGAAAAAAAGCATACTCTAAAAATACTCAAACATAGTCAAAAGTAGTCGAAACATCGCCCCTAGATTGATTTTACTTATTTTGGATGTTCCTCCTGCAGATCGGCCCATGCTCAACGCCAGGCTCCAAACATGTTCAAAAATAGTCAACAGTAGTTGACAAATCGTCCCCAAGCTATTTTTTACTATTTTTGAATATTCCTCCTGCAGAGGGACAGGCCCGACTGTGCCGTCTCCCCCCCTCGCCCCTCCTCGGGGGGGCGGCCCCGACCTGCGAGGCTTGGGCAGCGCCCCGTGCGAAGGCTGGCCACGGGACCAAAAAGGATCCCGGGCGCCCCACACGACCAGGGCCACACCGAACGCCAGGCTCGACTGTGCCACCTCCCCCCCCCGCCGCCCCCGCTCCTCGAGCCCTCGCTCGGACGCCCACTCCCCCGGCATCTAATTAGGAGGACCCCGGCGTGCTCCCCGGTGGCCCTCGCCGAGAGAAGCGGCACACGTCCGAGCGATGCCAAGTGGCCAAGGCCCAGGGGCGGCCCCGGCCCGCGAGGCTAGGCTACGGAGGCGCCCCGCACCGAGGGCGGTCGGCGAAGGCGAGGGAGGAGGGCGACGGCGCCCCGACGCTGGGCGAGCGGGGCCTCCCGCGTCCTGCGGCGGAGGAGCCCGGCACGCAGGCCCGAGGAGTGCGGGCGATCACGAGGAGGACCGAGCGACTGCGACGTCCCGGCACGTGGTGTCCTCGGCTGCCCGGGCACGCAGCTCGCCACACGCAGCGCACTGCTGCGGGGCTCAACACGTAGGCTGGAGACCTATAGGTCCGGCGCGACACGTGCGCCGAGACGTGGTCCAACACGATGAGCGAGCACGCAAAGCACGGGACGTAGCACCTAAGGTGGCGCCACCTTCGTGCCGACCTGGGCGTATGGCGGGCAGCGCGCGGCCGCGTCGAGAGCGGCAACGCGGCCCAGGCTCTGCACAGCGACCCTCCCCTCGCCCGTCGCTCGGACGTCCACTCCCCGTGCACTTTCTTCGCTGTCGCGCGTGCATGCTCGCGAGGCGATCCGAGGCGCTCCTCGATGGCCCTCGCGGGGGACACGACCGCCTCGACTCGACACGAGGCGTCACCTTCGTGCCGGCACGGCCACGCGGCCGGCGGCGCGCGGAGGCGCCGAGGGGAGCAGCGCAGCCCAGGCCTTGGCACAGCGGCCCAGTCCTGGCCGGGCAGCTCTCGTGGAGGCCTCCGAGAGGAACAGGGTCGGAGGATCGCGCCACGTCGCCGATGCATCGCCGATGCATCGGCGATGCCTCGGCGACGCACCGGCGATGCATCGGAGATGCACCTGCACCGGCGATGCATCGTCGACGTGGGTGGTGCATCGGCCACGTCGGCACGGAGGAAATCAAATCGAGCTCCACATCGATC